GCGGTCACCCACCACAGGGTAAACAATGAATCTTTCCTATGACTTACGTCACAATATTTTATAATACATGTAGGTAAATCTTATACAACTTAAACTTTACCCCGTCAGCTTACATCTAAACTAGAAGAGCCGAGACTAGTAAAAGTTTGAAGGTATCTACAAGCCGAGCTTCTTGTTACATAATTTTAGACAAACGATAGTTTAGTTAACTCATGCAGTCCAAAACTTTGCAAGTTCCCTACTTATTCTTCGTATATCAGCTTCTTTGGGAAAGAAAAAGGATTTTGGATGATGCTGAACAAATAGGTACTTTCTTTAAGGATAAGTTTACTTATATCCGCGTCTCGATTAAAAGTACTTTTTTTATTAATTTTTTAGGGGGGGAAGTCATCGAATGGCTTCTCCCGCCGAGGTGAGGCGGGAGGAAGTGTCAGACTCTTACTGATGTAAAAACTAAAAACCATCCCAATCCTACTCCTGCACATCAAGCCGGAGCCTCAGCAATCCACGGCTGCATATTGGCTTCAGCCCTTTTGGGCCCCATCCGTGGTGGTCTAATAGCTCTTTGAGGCACGCGCGACGCTCCATACGCTCGGGTCTTGTTCTGGTCGGGTGGCGAGCTCGATTAAAAGTACTGAAATAACGTTTCATTAAAACAATATTTTCTCTGTGCTTTCCAACAACGTTATATGTCTTTAGATATTTCCACAACCATTAGTTTCAGCTGTGCTTTGTCTATCAGCAAATTGAGATTGTTGCTACCAGGTTCCACGTATTTTTAACATATCTTAACCTTAAATAAAAATAAAATAAAACATCTTAACTATAAAGACGAGACGTGACAGTCATTTATTTAGTGACGTCCAATCTCCAATCAAAACATCGATGAAATGGTAGTAATCACAGCTATTAATCGAGTAACCGACTCGATAGATGTTCGATATCGATAGTCGTATGTCATTAATTATCTGGCGTGCACTACATAGGTCCATCATTAACGCAACTTGACACGTTGGTTACGACATAATGACGAGTATGTCGGTTCAATATCCGGTGGCTTTAGAGATATTGTGCGAATTGTGATATGTCCTTTGAGTGTGATAGTTGAGATGAAGGCATGGAGTATGAGGTTGGAAATGGAAGCATAGCTATTGGTATGAACCTATCGATGATATATCAATAACCTAGTCCTCAAAACCTCAAATATCAACTACCTTATAATCAAAAAGCGACTATATTGATAAATAATAGTTATAATTCTATCATCATACGTCATGATCTCTTTAAACTCTTCATGCAAACAACAAATTAAGTAAATTAAACGTTTAGTGTATCAAGTATATCTTACTATTACTAAAATCTCAGTATTCAGTATAAGACTTAATGTAGGTAGTATTTGGTACAAACATCTAGAAATGCTTTCTCAAATAAAACACCAAACTTCATAAATCACACATTTCAAGGTTACAACCGCAACTAGATAAGAATATTATAATTAAATTCAGTTCATGTGCCATCTTTATTACGCATTCACGGAGAGGTTGTATTAATTTATTTAAATGATAATATCTAATTAAGTCTGAACTGTGGAATAGGCAGAACTATGCCAAGTCACGTTCACCTCGCTGACATTTAAGCTTTGTATTCACTAGGAAACAGTGAAATTGACGCGCAACATTTGACACTCAACATCGTGCAAAATGTTGTCAAGCTTTTAATATTTTGCCAATTGGAGAGAGACGTGATGCGCAACACTATATTGGAGACTGATATTGTTGACCAATGTTGCGGACGAAATTATGCGTAAACAGACAAAGAAGCTAAATAAATGTTCCGCAGCGATTTTCAAGATTCATATTGAGCAACATTTTGTTCATCATGTTATGTATCAACTGTTGCCTAGTGGTTACAAGGCCTTCGTCTCTATGGCACATGCTTTTGAGCATCAAAATATTGTCGAATCAAGACATGACGCGCTATACTAGATCCTCTGACGACATGTTGCGAGTCTAATAATGACAGACAGAGTTAGTAAACAAAAAATACGCGGTCACTTTTTACATGTTGAGCAACAGTTGCGTGTCAAAGATTGCCTAGTGGACACGAGGCTTAAAGCCGTGATTAAAGTAACTGTTGAAAGCAACAGTGTAATATTATGAGCAACAGCTCTTTACTTTTAATGACGAGGGGATTAAAATTATGCTGAGCGGAGAAGTTTTGTTGTGATTGTGATAAACCGCGGCGAGATTTTTATTACTATTTTACTGGTTTGTAATTGTTCTATAGAAGCGTTGTGAAATGTCATGATCGTTTTGGTTAGAACTCTCTAAAACTAAGTGTGGGAGAGCCATGTTTCGGCACGAATGGGCCGGCTCGACCGGATTGATACCACGGCCTCACAGAAAACCGACGTGAAACAACGCTTGTGTTGTATTTCGTCGTGTGAGTGGGGTTACCGGAGGTTCAATTACCCCCTCCCTAGTCTCCCGAATCCCCGAAACCTCCACAATCCTCAAATTCCCAATTCGGCCGGTAACGCACTTGTAACGCCATGCCTTGTGCACATGGGCGGCGCCGATTGCTATCCATCTAGCCGTTTACCGGCTTATGCTATATAAAAACATTTACAGCAATGCAAATTATTGCTTATATTTTGGATAACAGAGTTTTTTTTATCATTCAATGACTTCTCCCGCCTTAGGTAATGCGAGATAGAGTATCAGACTAGTGACTAAAAACCATTCCGTTCCTACTTCTGCTCTTCGAGCCGGTGCCCCGGCAATCCGTTAAGGCTCCGTAATCATAGGGTATATGGTCTTAGGGCACTAGTACGTAGAAGTCATAACACAACAAGCAAAAAGTTTGAGTTACATTGTGTATGTGAAGTCTTGTGCGTGTCTGTGTATCTCTTCAAAAATGACAAAGCATGACGTAACACTTGTTACGTCACCTTTTGAACTTTGTCAAGTAGAAAATGTTTCAAAAAACCTTAAAATCTTTTCTTTTCATAAAATATTTTCAAGCATTCCATTTTTCCTATGTTTAAACTTCCGTTAAGAAGTCGGTCAGTCAGCCAGAGCGTCGTTTAGATGGGAATGATAAGATCTGCCACATTCCCATCCTTTCATGGCTGCTGAATGAGCTACTGAATCAAGACTCTCTTGTTTTCATTCCGTATTTAAACTTAAAATGGAACTTTAAGTTTTTAGGTTTATGACTAGTTTTACAAGAATTTTTATGTTCATGTAAATTTCTTTGGATTTTTCCTTTGCCCTATAAAGTCAAGACAGTGATAACAATACCTACGATTGTTGAAACGTAAGAATCACTGTTAAACTGTGAATCTTTTTCCATATTTGAATTCGGTTCAGAAATATAAACAGAAGAGAATTTCTCCGGGTGTTCAAATGTTTCATTAAATGATTTAAATATTAATTACCAGTGAAGTACTGGCTAAAACTTCATAATGTTCTGTATTCGATTACAATATCGTTGTCCAAAAATATATATAACATTAACAGGAACCTAAGTACGTAATGTTTATAACAACGTCGCTAGACATCCGTCAAGTTGTCCAAAATGTTGTGCCTGCAATGTCCTCTTGAAATTTTTACGATGGCAATTTTACTGCATCGATTCCCGACACATATGCCCGCTGGGCAGTTAACATAATTAACACAATGTCCAGACAGCTTACCCAGTACCCATTTTGGTAATTGATACGCTAATGTACACAAAATAATTCATTTTGTTGATTTAATGCAAATCCAAATTGCTTGTAGCAATGATTGAATATTTGTATTTGAATTTATTTGATGCATTTATAATGATTGCTTTAGCGCTCCAGTCTACAATGCATCGTTGTATAGTTATTACTGTATCAGTACACCAACGAAAGAACAGATTAGCTGGTTTCTCATCAATGAGAAAGTCGTTCATAATCTTATTGAAATTCAGTTGTCGTTAAAATAAAGATAAGAGTGTAGAGGCTATTAATATTTCAAAATTTTTCATTCCAAATCTACTTGAATGTGCAAAAATATATTCTCCTTCAAAAATGTCTATCTCCGTACATTTCCATTCAGGGACATAACTGTCATGTTCAATGTTCATCTCGTTCTGTAGAAAAACTAAACCAGGAAAAACAAAAACGTTGCCTATCACAGTATCACCGTTGAATCTAGGTTCCTTGTTACCGGGAACAAACCTCACGACTCCAATGGAGGCTTTGAGAGCCGTCACAATGCTCCAGTCAGGCTTTGACTGATACATCCTAGGACATTGCAAAAATACACAAAAACACGCAAACTTCAACCTTATACCCATTACATAAGTACACGTCCTTTTCGCATTCATCTGGCGTACAACAATTAGACGAGCTATGAGGCTAGAAGATATGAAAATAGGCGTTATTGTCATAACATTAGGTATTGATGTAGGATGGCTTTGTCTACGAACTATTTTGGTACGTGAGTGAAATTTGAGTTACCTATCAATAGATTTGACTACAATGACCGTCCATAGTTGGTACTTGGCATACAAATGCCCATATTGGAATTCAATGAAGGATCATTACTTACTTTGATCTTAGATGTCCTAAACATAGAGTATAATATTATTATCTAGTAATATTCTATAGAAGCGTTACCATTATTGTTTTCTTTAATAAAACCTTGGAAAAAGAATAGAAATCACTTCAAAACCACGACAAAACAATCCAAGAATGTACAAAGCCAAGATTGTATCTTTGAAGGCTAGAATGTTCATCTAATAAAAAATCCATTGAGACGTCTCCGAGGCAACATTTCTAACAAAGCCTATCTCCCTCCGTCCTCTCATTACAGCATATTTAATTGACAAAATAAAAAAGCGGAAAACACAAAAGGAATCCTTATAATAAAACTAAAACATGTTTCGCGACAGGATTTCAATAAAACCGACCCCTTGTCTCATTCGTTAGAGTGTTCAGAAGAATGAAGAATTATATTTTTTTTTTGCAGTTCCGCCGTAGGACAATCGGAGTATTGGAGGCCAAGATGAGTGGCAGCGGGATGAGGGGCGGCCGCAGGATCCCCACTCCAATGCCGCCGCCCAAGGAAACTATACATCAGCCCAGGTAAAATGTTGGTCGTGAATTCCCGAAAGGTGTCGCGTGAACATGTAGGCAAATTGTATATAAATTCGGTGAAATAATTATGTGGCGTCGGTCTTTATGCTTTTCTTGCTATTCTTGGTTTGAAGTTAGGCTAAAGGTTATAGACATATTTTCGCAGAATCACGCTTTTAATGTCGGAATAAGAATGTAGATGTAACAATTTTTTAGGACTAGGTCGTCAGCCTTTTGCATGCGTTACTGAGAAAATGAGCGAAAGGCCTCAAACTCTATTTGAATTGAATTTTTTTAGTCCTACTTAAGGTAGGTAGTTTAGTAAATCTTTTAGCTTTACTTACCGTAGGTATCTTTCATTTGTAGTTTCCATGCAAAACAGTAGGACTGGTACTCGTAAAATATATTCATTTTATTCGGTTACCTTTGCTCTCATTCGCATGTTGCCCAAAATAATTTATGATTTAATCGGTTTTGGAAAATTATCTTCCCCAGTCCCGTTCTATTATGGGCTATTTCCATAAAACAAAATGCTTATACCTTTTCATAATTCAAATTGAAAACAACAGTTGATAACAAAGGTTTGTGTCAAAGGCTCCTTGAACCATCTTTCCTCGCTCAAATACTGTAATGACACTTAGGAAGGACCGGCCGGAGATTGGGAGGTGCCTTATAAAGCTGTGAACTTTGGTCCTTGTTTCGTAAATTGAGACCTTATTACAATTCTCGGATTTTGTGAATCTAATCTACATTAATATAATGAAAGGGAAGTCCGTTTGTCAGATTTTGTTTGTTTGTTAATTATTGAATTAGTTTTGTTGTTTCGTTTGATTGGATTTCTATCGGGTTTCAGTTGGATGTTGTCTAGCTTCGTGTGTACAAAGGATTTAATTAAATTTGAAAATATATATTGTTTGTGGAACAACTTTTTTAATAATAAGTTTTTCCTTTAAAATTCATGATTTGGTCTATAAATATTTATCTTCGATCCGATGTATCAGACGTTTTAACTTGGTTTTTGATTTCAAACTGCGGAACTTTCAATTATGTATTTAACATTTGTAACTAAAATAAGGTTTTTAGATTTCATTTTAGACCAACATCATCATCATAATTATCATAATCACAGTTAGCTCGAACTAAAATATTATTAACTGTGTCTACACAGTTAATAATCAGATTATTGATGTGATGTGCTAGAGCACAGCAACCTTTTTAACCAAAAACACCTAATTAACAACAAATGAAACATATTATATGTTAAAGACTAACAATTAACCTTAGACCCGAAACTATTTTGACAACAACTTAACCTAACATTCACACCATTTACACTACAAATAGACACAGAAAGCAATTTATAATAGTTATGTCATCTCGATGACATAGTGTAACCGATACGTTTGTGTCGCTAAAGACAACAATATCATATGACTGTGAGCCCACTTCTCAAGCCGTCGTGTAGGCAGAATACACGCGATGTCACATCTGCGTGACCTTCTTTATATTTTAATCTTTGAACTGTTTGGTGACGAGTGTCATCATGACGTCATGTACCTATAATGTTTTTTTTTTGTAGTAAATTGGGATTTTCTTTTGTGTACAGTGTTTTATTGTTTGTTGTTTAAATGATGCTTTATTGTCTGTTTGATTGTCTTGTACTCACTAACTTTTGACTTTGTATAGGTTTTATAAAGTTTACTGTCTATAAATTGTTAGAATAAATTGTTATCATTATTAGGAAAAGTCTTATATAGCAATATACGACTTTTCCTGAAATCCCAGTTACATACAGTAGAATATAAGCACCGTATGTTTTTTTCCTTGAATGGAAATGGCCGAGTAGTAAATAGTTTAACACATTATGAAAGGCTCCTCAATTTAATATGCACTTAAATTTCGTGCATCTCTGTAATTTTAAAATAATTTGTAGTCACAGAACTATAGTCAAGCGCAACTTAGAATTGAGTAGCATTTGAGTATTTCGACATAATTATGACTACCAAATCGTAGGTTTAATGTTAATCGAAATTTCCATTAACCCTTTCTTCGATTTACGAGGCTAAAGTTATGTTAATACAGAACATGTAAATCCATCCTTTCCTGACAAGATTCGACAGCCTAAAAAAATATAAGAAATCTTTTTGATCTCAAAATGAACAAAATGTTAAGTTGGGTTACCTGAATGGAAATGGATCATCCTGTGCAAAAGGTTCCACCGATTTCCATAGGAAATGGTTGCGTAAAGATTTGATAACATTTACCTTCCTAGGTAGGTAGTAGCCTAGGTACATGGTTTAGGCACACAAAGATACATATTTTATCTAGGCTAACTTTTGACTGATTTTTCTGGATGATATTGATATGACTACTAAATACTTTTTTTATGGCTTAAACCGGTAAACGATCAGACGGATCACCTGATGGTAAGCAATCGGCGTAGGAGTTTGAGGATCGTTGGGGATTCAGGAATTGGGGAGATTGGGGAAGCGGAGGGTAATGGGCCTCCGGTAACCTCACTCACACGACGAAACATAACGCAAGCGTTGCTTCACGTCGGTTTTCTGTGAGGCCGTGGTATCATTCCGGTCGAGCCGGCCCATTCGTGCCGAAGTATGACTCTCCCACACTTAAACTTGTAGACAGTATAGTTTTGCTATCAATACATTACAATATTGTGTAGTGGATACTGTCTCTACACATTTCGAAACAAGTGTAGCTTGTAACAATATCCTGTTTAGTTATTAACTGCAGTCCTATAAGTGCACCGTTTGGATTTCAAAGAATTCGGTGAAGTGAACTATCTACATGTCAGTATTATTCTTGTTTTTTGACGGAGGGTGAAAGAGGAGTAGGTACTTAAGTAATACAATTATTTTCTTATTAGACCACCATTACTTACCTTTTTTTTGTTGGGCCTACGTTTGACCTCTATCTCGCCTAGTGGTAAGCAATGATGTGGTTTACGGTCTAGGAGCACGTCGTCCCATAAGCAACCATTCGGGCCTTGAAGACACCCACCTAATTTAACTAAAAATCGTGGTTTAATCACGTGAATATACTGAGTAAAGCTCTACTAGTTTCTAGTACAGTACGTTTCGCGAGTTCGCGACATCGCCGCGACCGCGCACGCTGCTCATGAGGAAAAGCCCCTCTGTAACTCGAAACGAGTCTACTAGTAACTAGAAAAGCTCTCGTTTTTCTCAGTAAATTCACAAGAGTAACCCCCGATTTTATGTTAATTTTTTTTGTTAATTTAGTATGTATCACGAAAATTGTTGTAATTGTAATAAGTAATTGTCATTTTTTTCCAAAAAATATGTAAGAGGTTTTTAATTTGTTTGTTTTAAACATCATCTGTGGCTGAACTAGGTAAAGATCTACTGCAGCTTACGGTGAACTACCTGTAGTCGCAGAATTTTAATTAGCTCATAAATATCTACAAATTAATGATAAGTCTGTTAATAAATGTTACGACAAATAGCATATAGGAGTAACCTGGACCAAACTGGGTTTACACCTTCCTGTACTTAGCTTTACGTTTTTGAATTAAAACCGATAATACCATTATAATAAATTCTACAAGATCATGAAGTTAATTTAACCAGCATTGAATACCGATTGAGCAAATTGGCCTATACACTTATCAGTAGGAATTCCTAAGACTCGTAAATGTTCGATTATGAAAAATCCACAACATTCATACAAAAGTAGTCTCTAAACATCGGATATAAGGTATATTATGGTGTAAGTTAAAAGCGGCCACCGGTGACCCTTTTGATCATGTAAATATATTTCACACACAACTCTCTACCGGCTTATTCCTTCCAGGAACAGAGGTGTTAACCTGTTAACTTACATTGTGTTAAAATTAAACTGAATCTCATTAATCTATCAGAAAGTCAAATATTTCCATACAAGAGCTGATTCATAAAAATATTTAACCAAACAAAAAATAAACTATTAAACTCGTTAAAACTGTCGATTCACGCCCCCGTGATTAGATAAACCAATACAAACATACAACAAGCTAAGATGATTCTTACCAAAAATAGGATAAGATTCAAAATTCCTTTTTAGAACATAGAGGTACAACCCCTGTTTCGTAGTAAATTATACTGGCACCCTTTCAAACCAGATGTGCGTAGATGCCATAGACTATACACCAACCCTTTTACCGGGCTCTTTAAAAATAAATATTTTACTCGGACTGTGGTAATTATGGTTAAAAAATTAATGGCCACGTGAGATGTGAGGTTATAGTCTGTGCATTTTCGATGACAGTTACACACAAACATATGCACGTGTGCTTGACGTGGAGTGGGCTAAGGGATAAGAAATAGGTGTCTTGAAAGTAAAGGTTAGTTCGGGTCACCGACTGACTGCTTTCATTTATTGAAATAGCTTCGGATCTTTTCTCTCCAAAATCTGTATTATCTTTATTTTGAGAATCAAAAACATAGATAAATCTTACATATCCGTCAAAAATAGAGGGTATTCCTTTTTAGAAACACAACAAGCAACAATTTTGTAACTCTTTCAGTGCTATGGCTGTTTGTGGGCGGCACTAATCATCTAAACAAGAGTACAATTTTAGGATCAACAGTTTGTTCTTATAATTAAAGATCCTATGAACGAGAATCTACTTGTAGGAGGTCAGGTGTCTGGTTATCTATTGGGCAAGATTTCAATGTCTATTTTAATTTTAACCTTTCTTTACTTTCTATGTAGTTTTAAAACAAAAACATAACAAAACATAACATCACGACTTTTTATACTCGATGCCACTGTATAATGTAACACCCACTTTCACTATTTATATTATGAGTCCCATGTAATAGGGGGTGAGCCTATTGCCATATACCGGGCACATTTCCAAGCTCCGTCCTACTACTGAGATTTTTATAAACCCAGTAATACTTTGCACGATCCGGGAGTTGAACCCGAGACCCATTGCCCGGCAGTCGCACTTGCGACCACTCGGCCAACGACGCAGTCAAAAACATAAA